TATATATATATATATATATATATATATATATATATATATATAGCTTCTTCTCCAATTCATTTTTCCATATTAGAACACAAAAGATAAAAAAAAATTAAAATTAAAATACTAATATCAATAGTAGTAATAGAGATGATGACATAATGACATTACTAAATACAATGATATTTTTTATTATTTAAATTATCATAATTTGATGTGATGAGATGATTGATAATTTGGCTCATTAAAATTACATGAATTAATATCCTAAACATAATTTTAGAGAGAAATGTGAAATCACTAACTTTGGATATATGAATTTTTTGAAAAGCAATTTTTTTTCCCATGTTGTTAGTCATTATTCATATCCAAGTCTAACACAGTGTTCTTGGTGTCAAAAGGCTTGTGATTATAAGGTCCCCTATGTTACCAAAAAGAGTAGCCTATCATTGATGGGAAACCACCTTGTCTCTCAAAGTAAACCATGCTATTAATGGGGCAAATCATCAAGAATCCTAATGTCACCCAAACTTAAGATGTTGTCCAATAAAACAGGAAAAAGTTTGCAAAAGTTAATACATGCAACTCAAGTTATGGTGACTATTATAAATGCTACTCATAGAGAGCTCACTGTTACCTTTTCTAGTCCAAATATTATGTCAATGTAAATAAACACATTAGTAATCATCATTTGTTCCCAAGAACAACTTTGGATTAATTTGAACATGAGTTAGATTTCCAACTCCACTCTCCTCTTACTATAATGCACTCTCTTTGACTGGCTGCTGCATCTACAAAAGTGATGCCAACATTGTCATGGATTAAGAATGTGTTCCTCCCCCTCTTTTATTGCTACCCTCCGATATTTATTGTACTGCACCTCTCTCGCTCTCTCTCTCTAGCTCCTCCAAATCACGGTTTTGCCCCTACGCCTGGCGATGCTATCGTACGCATCTTTTGCATGCATACGTCCGCGTCACCTGCGACATTCTTCTACTCTCGTTAACCCTACGCTCGGTGGTATTCTCCATGTTGCCACTCCCTCACTGCTGTTACGGAAAGCGTCGCGTAACAGATGCTTTTCGAAACGGGAAATGTCGCGTGCTGGCCGCTGGCATAAATAGCTCGGCCGTCACTTCTCCAAGCAACCGGAGGAGGAGGAGGAGAGTGGGGTGAGTGACGGCATCGGAGGTTCTCCGATGGCGGATTCGTGATTCTTAGCTTCGTTGGTGTTCTTTTGTTGACTAAGAGTCGCTGCTGTTTTCCACTTTTGGTTGGGAGGTTGAAGGGAAACGGAGTTTTGGTGCGTTGCCTGCTCTGCGTCCCTGTGTCGGATTCGAAGTATGTGGGCGAGAAAGAAGGTCGGCGAAGGAAGACCGAACGATTCGGAGCTCTTTTGACTCCCTTGTTTCTTTCTTGTTCTAGAGAGCCACTGGAGCGGCGTAGACTAGAATCGCGGCTTATCTTCACTGCTTTTGGGATTCCGCGAATCGCTGCTCATCTGTTGACGAGAATCGTTTGGATTGTCCAGAGAAAGATCCAGAGAAGGGTTCTCTTTTACCGGGTTTTTCTTGTGTTCCCCTGTTCCGGTGTTGAAAAAGATTGGATTTTTCCTCTGCTTTGCGTTTGCTCGCCATATAAGGATCTGCGAATCGGAAGTGGCGGAGCTTAGGATGGATTTGCCGATGTACTCCGACGGCGAGATCGGCTCGGAAGCGCTGAATTCCAGCCAGAGCTCAATGAGCAGCAGCGGCGGCAGCTGCGATGACCGCCACAGTAGCTTCTCCCGCCTCTCCTTCGACGGCGTGGCGGCAGCGGCGGCTCTCGAGCTCCCGTCTGGCGACCGCCCCCTCGCCGCCTCGCGGCTGCCCGCCAAGCCCCACCGCTGGTCGGATCCCTCTTGGGCGGCCATTCGGTCGCGGAACTCCGCCGGCCTACACGCCAATCTTGGCCCCCGGGACTTCAAGATCGTCCGCCGCATTGGGAGCGGCGACATCGGCACCGTCTACCTCTGTCGCCTCCGCGAGGAAGCCTCGGCGTGCGTTTACGCGATGAAGGTGGTGGACAAGCTGGCGCTGGCGAAAAAGAACAAGCTCGAGAGAGCGGCGACCGAGAAGAGGATCCTGCGGGTCCTCGACCACCCCTTCCTTCCCACGCTCTACGCCGACTTCGACGCGTCCCCGCATTACTCTTGCGTGGTGATGGAGTACTGCAGTGGCGGCGACCTCCACACGCTCCGCCACCGCCAGCCCCGCCTCCGCTTCTCCGTTGCGGCCACCAGGTCTGCACCCCTTGCACGGTCGCCGCCACCATATGTTTGCATTGTTTTGGCGCTGATTTCGATTCGTCTGCAGGTTCTACGCGGCGGAAGTGCTGCTTGCGCTGGAGTACCTCCACATGCTTGGCATCGTCTACCGCGACCTCAAGCCCGAGAACATACTCATCCGCTCCGACGGCCACATCATGCTTTCCGACTTCGACCTCTCCCTCGAGTCCACCGCCTCCCCCACCCTCGAACAATTCGACGCCGCTGACGAGGCAGCCTTCGGTGACGACTTCTCCTGCATCCCCTTCCTGGCACGGAGGCCTGTCCGCACTAGCGCGCCGTGCCGGCGGTTCGTAGCGGAGCCGATCAGCGCCCGGTCGGGCTCCTTCGTGGGGACCCATGAGTACGTCGCTCCGGAGGTGGCCTCCGGCCGGCACCACGGCAGCGCCGTCGACTGGTGGGCCTTCGGCGTCCTCCTCTACGAGCTGCTCTACAGCCGAACACCCTTTGCGGGGTCAAATAATGAGTCAACGCTCCGGAACATCGTGAAGCAGCCGCTGACCTTCCCTCCGTCCTCCTCCTCGTGCTCCTCTTCGGCGGCGAGGGACCTGATCACCTGTCTGCTCCTGAAAGACCCAGCTGCCCGCCTTGGCTCGCGCGGCGGCTCCGCCGAGGTCAAAGCACACCCTTTCTTCAAAGGCCTCAACTTCGCCCTCATGCGCTCCCACCGTCCCCCGGTCATCCCTGGTTTAGTCCGGTCCGCCTCGGCCAAGGAGCGTCGCAAACCGGACCGGTTCGACTACTTCTAATTGGACCACTGTCCTTTTTGTGGGTCCCTTCGAAAGACCACCAGGGCAGAGCTGACACGCGTGGTTTTGTTCAAGCACAGATTGCACCCTCCCCCTTCCGTAGTCGCACAAGTTTTTTGAAGGGAAGAAGGGGAATTATGGATTAACTCGTGTAGGCCTAGGATGTGTTATAGGTGTATACAGTTGTGCAATATGCGTCTTGCAATATCACATATCTCTGCTTATATATATATTTATACATATATATATTCGATGCTGTTGGATACAATTATTTTGTTGTAATATACATTACTTGTGATATCGCAATTTCCCATCACATCATGCGATGGTGGCTTGATCAGTACGTGGGGCCATACGTGCCTAATCTGCCAAGCCAGTGGTGCTTTGAGATCCGAGCCATGTTGAGGAGTCTGACCACGTGGCTAAACACGGAGGAAATACCAAATTTAGTACCTGTTTAAATGGCTTTTGCTCGAGCCGATCCTATCAATGGTTGCCGACTACGTGAATCATCGGTGGCTCGATCGAGACGCCTGAGTCGGACCGGACGCATGTCGGCGTCACGTGCGTCGTATTTCGGCCGACCTGACACGTGGGTCGGCCACGTCTCGTGCATGTGAGGGTGAGGCCCCACACGTGCCGCCTGCCGGACCCCGACCGCGACCTGGGTGGGACGTGCCATCCCATCTTTCTTTCTCCCTCTACTATTATATATCGATAACACAACAGTTGCTAATTAAGATACTAATCTCATCGTTTTTACGTGAGACAAAGATTGGACGTGGGAAAGGGCAGACACGAAGCAGTCCTCTGATGGGTGCATGCACCAGTGATAAGTCACAGGCCTCTCACATCACAAAGGCCTTCAGGTCCCTCTCTCTCTCTCGTCATAAATACCTGGATGAGGAGTCCTTACGTTCGTAGGTACGTGATGGCTACGTAAATAAATATTAAATAGGCCGAAGCGCCTAGAGAGAGAGAGTACTGCCACCTTTGATGTGAAGCGATGGCCTGGGAACAGAAAAGGTGGTGGTCCGATGACGCCGGAAAGTTAACCTCTGGGGTGAACGTTTGGTGGCGTGGCATTGCATGCAATGGGTCCCGCTGCCTGTGATTGATGGCTCACGTGCCGGTGTCTCTTTTAAGTTGGAAAAGGGTGTCGCATTAGATCAGGATTTCTTATTGTGTGTTGGTCGGAGTCCTTTTTGCATGGGGTGTGGAACAAAGGGAAGTAAATGTACGCAATTATGGACGACGTAAAGCAAAAGCGTGATGAGGGTGCAGCAGTAGGTTCTGCTACGGCAGGGCTCTTTATGCAAGGATAATAATTGCAAACCTGCCAATTGTACTCTGTGAAAGTCTGATAATTGGTAGGCGAATCATAAGTCTTAATCGATGGTCAAATTATTGTGCAAGTTTATCCACCAAAATCCTGTTCGAGTTCCAAGATACCTCATTTGCGTGTCGCCACCACCTTGCGTCGTCTCCACAAGATCCTTCGAGTACAAACAAGAAGACTGCCGTGTGATCCTCTCGTCAGCAGTTGACGGATTCGAGCAAGCAGCCATCTGTAGGGTTCTAAGCTTGCAAAGGTCGACCTATATGCAGTAGCATAGACTAGCACATCACGCTCTAGTTTGACCTTTAGGACCTCCCTTTGAAAACCAAAGATGCGAGAGATGAAGACGGCGACCACCTGATGATCGACGGTGGAGCCCGCCAGGGGCATCGCCTGCGGTGACGTGATCTCGACCAACGGTGAGCGGGAGGCAGCCGAGGCCGACGACGGCTTGCTGCAGCAGCGTTCGCAGGCAGACCTCGGTGGCGGCGATGACTGCGGCAAGGCACCGAACGAAGGGAGGAGCAGTTCTATGACTGGTGCCTCAAGTAATGCATGTTGAGCTGGAAATGTTTTGACCTTCAACGGGTGGATTAAACTTTTGCTTATTGGATATCTCAAGAATTCTCTCCCAACCCCATTTGCAGAGAAAACGATGTGCGGTAAGAACTGAAAGCATGCACGTAACAGGTCACAGTCAACGTAAAACCACTCTGCTCGTAGGCCCGCAAGAGGATAGTTTTCCTGACGTGTGGAGTTCATCATCCTTCGTCGCGCGGGCATCGTGGAGCAAGGAAGTCAACCTACGACTTGGACATATAAACAGAGAAAGAGAGGCGAGGGATGACGGGAGTTTGCAGCAATAAGGAAAGCGGGCAGCCATGGAATTCGTCTCCTTCTTGGCGTCGCTGGGGGTGTACTTCCTCGAATTCGCCGAGTTGATGCTTGTGTTCTCTTGGTTACAGACGAAACCATGCAACAGGTAGCCAATCTCTTTTCCTGCTTCTTGCACGCCCAGACTTCAACCTGCACACAATGATCAGCTCTTGCTTTCTGCCCTTTTAGGTTAACAAAATCTGGAAGGTGAAAGAAGAATGCAGGAAGAAGCTTGCTCGTGCTGAAGGAGTGCTTGCAGAGTCCGGCAGGGGGCACACCTACAGAACTGGCTTCCTGGGTGTTGTGAGCGCAAAATTGGATCCCATCGATCACTGTAACAAGAAGATAAAGGAACTGCTTCCCAAGTTCGAAGCTGAACAACAGATCACTCTCAGAGAGAAACAAGAAGCTGCAGCCCTGGTCTTCTTCAACAGCAGGGTTGCTGCAGTTTCTGCCTCCCAAACCATTCATGCGCAGAAGACCGGTACATGGACTGTGACTGAAGCTGCTGAGCCACGCCAGTTGCTCTGGGCAAATCTGCAGAAGAACTGCAGCCAGATACAGACAAGGTAATCTGTTATACATGGGATTGTCTTCCTCACAGTATGCTTCTTCATGATTCCAGTTGCAATCGTCGGCTTGTTTAACTACAATTGTCCAGCAGCGGTATGGGCAGGTCTGGGGGCTTTCCTATCCAAGGAAGAGGGGCTCCCTTCTGAAAGCCAAGCAGTAAGAGCTGGCATCAAGAAGTATTTATACTTCGTTGTGTTCGATGTCTTCCTTGGATTTAGAGTATGGGGGGCGTTTTTAGATGCTCTGCAGGGCTTCATCGATCAACCTTCTGACCAGTTTATGCCATTGCTCGGGTTGAGCGTGCCCAGAAATTCCAACTTCTTCATCACATTTATTTCTCTGAAGTATCATGCACTTAACTTTTTTTTACTTGATCAATGATACGTTCTGCAAAAATTCTGATGCATCCATCTGATTGGTTTTCCCAGATTCTTCATTTGCAATGGGCTCGAAATCTCACGCTTGTTCCCCTTGATCATCTTCCACTTCAAGAAGAAGTTCCTCTGCAAGACCAAAGCTGAAGTGCCACCAGGTGACCTCGGCTATGCTTCTAGACTTCCCAGTGACATGCTTGTCATCACACTCGTCCTCTGCGACTCAGTGGCAGCTCCCATGATCATTCCATTTGGTGCTGTATACTTTGGCCTCGGATGGCTCATCACAAGGAATCAGGTGAGTGAACCTTGCTCTTCTTGCTTGTGCCATGATCTCTGATAGAGCAAGAAGGATATAACATCATGGAAGATTTGCAGGTGCTGAGGGTTTAGATCCCCAAGTACGAGAGCAAAGGGAGTCTGTGGTCGCCACACTCATCATCTATCAGGCCTGCATGATAGGATACATTGTGGCATGGAAGAAGTTCTATTTCGGTCCTCTTCTTGCTCCCTTGATCTTAATCTCCTTGACATATGGTTATTTATTCGAGAAGCGTTTCTGCGACTTCTCTTGAAGCAGCGTGCAGGAAGCTCAAGGAAGCTCAGACATGGTGTCCATATACGAGGCTTATATTCCACCATGCTTGAGCTCAAGGAAGCTCGAGGAGGTCAAACAGGTTGTACATGCTCAATCACGTTGACTGAGATGCACATCAGTTCAATGAAGTTGTCCGCCGCTCGGCGGCAACATGTTTCTTATGTGCCTCTAAGAACACCGGTGTGTAACATGAACGCAGTATGTATCCGCCAAGTACAAATGCGTGCAATCTGCCACTAAAATTTTCGTGTAATTATTTGATCCGGCATTATTGAGGCCGTGTAAGCTAATATATATATATATTACATGTGGTGTTCAGATCGGAAAGAGAAGACCTGTGTAAGTAGACAAGGGTTTAAAACATGAAACTGTAAGTTATCTCCCTTGTCACTAATATGAATAAAAGATGAAGGGAGATTGTTAGAGGTAATTAGAGGTTACTTCCTTATATAATATTTTATAAAATATTTTACTTTTTTTACTATCAAGTATAAAAGTTCATCTTTAATATAATAAAAAAAAGAATTATCTTTTGATCACACACACATCCATACTCACCTATCGCGGGTTACTAACTTAGGCGTCAAATAGATCGAGTTAGGAAATCTCTCTCAACCTTGATCTTTATGCATGTGTCATCTTATGAGCTCGAAGTTTTCATCTTGGAAGTACCTCGGACAATCTTGCGCATACAAATCTGGACCACGTTAGATGCTAGAAGGAGGATGAGGATGGAGGCTAGACCATTAGTCTCATCGAGGTTACCAACTGAGCTATTCTCAAATAGTTAAAGAAGCGGGTCATTAGAGTAAAAGGTACTTAAGTGGATGAGCTGTCAAGTATCTTGTAGGCCTTCCGAACAATACCTAAGACATAGTCGAAAGAATCGTTATTCAATTTAGCATTCGGCCATGAGATTATCTTTGTCACTTGAGATAGTCTTTCTAACACTTCGAGCTAAGAATTTTAATAAGAAAATCTTTGAATGACTTCAGGACGGACTTAACTTAATCAGGGAGGCCAGAGCAGAAGCACACCTAAGGGCACTAATATATACAAAAGCGACAGTCAAATTTTACAACCAAGGTATTCGCCCACAAGGAGTTGAACTATGAGACTTGGTGCTTTGGAAAGTTGAAGTCAGCAACCCAACTAAATCCCAAGATAAGCTAGTGACAAACTAGGAAGAGTCATATCGAATCATCAGGGTCATCCAAGATAAAACCTATCGCCTTACGATGATACATTAATAGTGTTACCAAAGACATGACACATTACAAATTTAAAGAAATTCTACCCCTAAGTCAGGTCAAGGTGACTATACTCTGAGTGTCAGTCTATCATGTTTTTAGTGTTAATTAAACAATAAAAAAAATTATTTTTAAGGTGTAGGCGTTACAAGTTGAGGAAATAAAGTTTCATTGCTTAAAAAGATAATATCAACTCAGTTGGGCCTCTACATCCAAAA